CCCACCACGCAATGCTCCCCGTGCCGTCAGCAGGAACAGAGAATGGGACAGGGCGGCTTTGCACGTTTTTCTTCCTTCATCGATTTTCTTGCCGCTGCTCCCACACTCTAGATTGTAACAAGGCCTGAATCATTTCCTGCTCCTGGGGGCATACCATTCTCAATTCACTGCAGAGCTGACACATGCCTGGAGTGGAGCAGGAGCTCTCACACTGCTTGCCACGTTTAGTGCTTACTGCAAAAGCTCTCTTCCTAAAGACCCCATTGAATAAAGCAGTGGGTTACGCTGCCAATTAATCAGTGCTCAGCCAGAGCTAGCACCAGACCATGAACTCTAGATGGCATTCTTGTTATTTTTCTCCTGCTGCTTGTTTGTTGTTTATCATTTTGTTAGTTTGTTTTCCCCGTTATTGCGGAAGTGTCAGGATAGCCCTTGGATCTCAGTCTTGAGCCATGTGAAACACCAGGATGCTTTCAGCCTTTAGCCTGGGAAGGAGTGGAGGGCTGGATGCAGACTGCTAGTAGTTTCCTGCACTGCTCCCCTCAGTCAATTCAGCAGGTAGAATGTAAGTGGAAATCTTTAGTGCTAAAGTTCATCCTCGTATTTGTAGTTCTGTCCCTCCACCCTGTTACAGCTTGTGCGGCTCTGACTTGCTTTCCTTACATTACAGATCCCTGTTTGTATGATTTTTCAATCTCCTGTGCCCATTCACAACTGAAAACACTGTATTGAATGCTCTCCCTCCTTTTAAAGCAGTTTCATCAAACCTGGCTCTGTAGAGGAGATTCTTTGCCTCTCCATTTGCTTTCCCATTGTTCTGGGGCCCCTTAAAGCCACCTGAAACTAAATGAAGTGCAGTATCTTCAACTTCCATGGGGCTATGACAGAAATTATTGATAAAATGCTCTTCTATAGTCCTTACTTACATTGTAAAAAACACTCTGAAGTTTGGCACATGCCATTTCAGCTATGCAATGGGGTGACAAAGATTTTTAATGTTCCGAGTGTGTTATGAAACAGATAACAACAGCTGATAACAGCAGAACCAACTGCAAAATTCCTGACCTGCTGCCACCCACTGGTGTCATTGAATTACTTTTGCAATGTCTGAATGCTTCCTTGCAAAAGTCCAGTTTTTACTTTTAATTAACTTAAAATCTAAAGAAGATGCCAAGGAGTTCATTTTCCCACTGTTTGCCACTAGTACACCATCCTTCTTGGCACAGAGCAAGGCAAGGCAGAGGAAGACAGAAAGCCTCTCCTGTGTTGAGAAGACAGCAATGCCTTTTTTTTCAAAGACAGAGGGATTGGAACAGGTGGGTAAATTTTCAAGCTTGTTCTCTAGCCCATTTCTTGACTTCCATTTACTACACTGGCAAGTAAATCCACAACTGATTTTCTCCATAGGCATTTCTGATACTATCTGCACAGGGAGAAGACGGCTGGTGTTATGGAGAGCACGAACTGCAGGCAGCACTTGTCCCTTGGCAACTCCCACCAAAATCACCAGTGTCCTCTGCTGCTTCCCACAGAGGGCTGTAATTAAATACTTGACCGTTCCCGGCACAGGGAGGGGCAAAGGCTGGCATGAACCTGGCCGGATCCCAACAAGTCCCTGTGGCCCTCCTGAGGTGCATGCCCGGTGCTCCGGCCCCTCCCAGCTGTTGCAGGGAAAAGCTGGCAGCAGCCTCCTGGCAGGGGCAAGGCAGGGGATCTCCCCTCGTCTGGCCGACCCTGAGGGGTGTGAGGCCAATGGGCCAGCAGCTGGCTGCTGCAGGCAGGCGTGTGACAAATGGACAGCTGGCTGAAGGGTGTGCTCTGCCACACAGGACACTGGGGCTCCTGCAGGGGTGAAGGAAGCAAGGAAAGAAAGGTCATGAGATTGATCATATTTGGCCTCTGCAAACCTCCACAAGCATGACAGTGGAAAAGAAATATGCAGGGATGCCCTTGTTCCTGCAATTGACACCACCAAGTGGGGAGAGATCTCTCCCACCTCTAGACAGAGACACCAAGTCAAGAGCCACGGGAAGAGACCGAGTGATTGCCACAGGAGGTGGGACACAGGCCACTTTCTTCCAGCTACATGCAGCTTTCAGGGGCACATCTTGCTGCAATAACATGAAGAAACAGGCAGTTTTATAGAAACACAACACAGGTTTCTATTTTAATGAGAAAATAATTATATACTTGCATTGTAGGCCTCACAGTCACTATAAAACAGAAGCAGGATAACATTTAAGTGGTTAACATACAGAAAGCCAGGTATTGTTGAAACTGGTTGATAAGTCATGACAAAGATGCTGCCTTTTGGTTGCCAAACAAGTCAAGACTAGTCTATTCTCCCTCAGAAATGTCAGTACAGAGCAAGATGAAGCCCAAATTGGCAGCTTTAAAAACAAATTGTTCAGAAAACCTGCACTGTAACCTCAAACCAATTATAATCACAAATGCTAATGCTTAACTATTTTTCAATACACAGTTTCATTAAAACCAGTCTTTGCCACGGGAAAGGATCTGAGCATTTCTTTTGTGGAGACAAAGTTAACTCTGCAATAGTGCTCTTTTGTTGCATTTGATATAGTCATATATAGATAGATATGTATTACTGCCGTATACTTATAAACACCTAAGCTTGGTAGCATGCAAATGAAATAACAGAGGCAAGTAAACTGCATCTCACTCTTGTTACCACAGCACTAAATGTGCTGCTGACTATAAGTGTCCATAATTTCTGGAAGAGAAAAACTGCTGGGTGAAAAGTCTGTCTGTCCTGGACTGAAATACTTTTGTTGCAGGGGCTGAAAGGAAATGCTTCTATAACAGAGAACAAAGCATGAAAAGATGTCTTATGATGGGTAATTATTGTCACTGGCCTCCAGTCAGAAAGCTGGAAGGAAAAACAGGCCTACAGACTAAAGAAAATAAAGATGCAAGTTCTTGGGAAGGTAGTCCAGGGTTGACCCAGCTTTTAGGAGCAAATACTGGGGGAAATCTGATGAGCGCCATTTAATACAAGACCACCACACCACAGAGGCCATCTCCTATGCTCAGAAAACTCCTTTTTCTCTCTTAAGTTCTCCCCAAAGGCCAGGAATCTTCCTGACACAGGTGTGTGGGGCTCACACCTGCAGCCACGTGACATATGGTCTCACTAGTGCTGCACTGGTGCTGGTGCTTTTCCTACAGCTGCATGGCAACAACCCACCCTGAGACAGGAACTGCCCTTGATTCACCCTTGATTACCATGCCTGAAAAACAGGTCCATTTCATTAGATACACAACTATTTCACAGGCATGGAACCTCCCCATGGTGCCTCTCCTTGAGATAAGCTTGCTGCCCTCATCCAGTGAACTCTTGGTTCAGCAGGTTTTCTGCAGTTCAGTAGCACTTACAGGGGACAGGGAAAGAACTGAGTCAATGGGTAGATATAAACGTATTTACTACAGTTCCCTGAAAATAAGCCTGAAAATTGTAAGTGTCCATGGACAGAAATCACATGCTGGAGGAACTGAAGTGTGGTGGTGGTGAATAATTTGGTTGCAAGCTCTGTGTTTGTTTAAAAAAAGCACCAGAAGTATGTTCACAGTATTGGTACTCATTTTAAATGAGCTCACTGTTTCAGGATAAAACAGCACAGCAGGTCATGAAACCAAGGAATGGCTTAGGGAGAACACAGTATTCTGGCTGATGACTTTTTAAAAAGATACCGAAATAATAACTGATTATAAAAAAGAAATAATATTTTTTAAGGAAAAAAGGCTTGATGCCTTTTTTCCCATCATCTCCCAAATGTTTTGGTTTCTAGTCCAGAAATTATGGTTCCCAGTTGTAAAATATTCCTATTGTATTGCTTGCTGATAAGAAAGAGTAAACCCGCAGCCTCTATACTACATACAAATATGAAGCACAAGAATAAATACCACATTTCTTTTCCTAATCGTCAGCTTACAAAACTGGTCAAAACTTTGCAATTGTGACTCATGCAAATACCATGTTGGGTCAAATTTTAATATCACAAATACTGCATTAACTCAGTGCCTTATTTTTATATCCCCTTTCGGAAAAAAAAAAAAAATAGCACTCACCCCTATAGCTGGTAAACAGCTGTGGAGAAAATAATCAGTGCACGCACTGCCATACACTTTGTGGTATGCCAGCCTCATGCACTCCCCCACACACTCCCACACACACCCACACACACACCCACACACACACACAGACACTAATCCTTCACTGCTGATCCCAAGCCTAAGCAATAACTAAAGGCTCTATGGTTTGCTTGTAGCGCTGAAAACACTGGCTGAACAGCTAAAATAATATTTTCTTCCCTTTGTTTGCTCTTCCTTGCTCATTCCTTCCAACTCATTATGCCCTTTAGCTTTTTTGTTGCCCGGAAACGTGAAGACTTCCACAAAGCACTCTACTTCAAAGGCTTTTTAAGTTGTATAAATATAGTTGAAGACATAACTCTCTTTCTTCTTTATTTCATACCTCTTTCTAGGCCAGAGTCTGGCTTAGTTCATTTATTGCCTCATTTAAAAATTAAATGTCCTTTATTTGTATCCCTTTCCCACTACCTTTCTACTTCAAATTATCCATCTTCAAAGATTTTACACATATGCCATTCTTTCCCACCCCACCATCAAAAAATAGTTGTCATCCGCTAAATACAGATTTTCTACTTAGAAACTTTGTTGCGTAAATATGCTCTGAGAACCTGGAGTTCAGGTGATATTGCAAGCATATAGGATCCTAAAGCTAAGGTAATCCATTTGGCTTAGCTCTCATCCCCATCTATTCCACTCCTAAATTGTGATGGCTTGTGTTTGCAACACAAGGATTGTTTGACTGAGTTTGCTGGATTGTACATTTGCAGTAACTGCCTCCCTGTTTGTTGGGTTTTTCTTGTTTTAAACAGATAAACTGCTAGAAAGGGGAGCACAACCCACACCCCACACCCCCCTCCCCAAAAAAAACCAACCAACCCAATCCCAAATCCAACCCTTCAGTCTCCTCAAAAAAACAGAACAGAGAGCAGTATCTTTGTGTTTTGTGGCTGGATAAGAGTGTGCCGAATTAGTGCTGACGGTCTTGTGCAGCGGCTGTGGGAGGCGAAGGAACTGCAGGAGGTTCTGACAGGAGCTACCATGGTCCTGGGGACAAGCAGGGCTGGCAATTCAGTCAGCAAGAAATACAGGTGTGAGCCCTGGCCGCAGACTCCTCCACAAATCACTTCCTGACACATGCCTGCAGCCTGTCTGGTCCATGGGCACAATCACCCTCCTGTGCTCACCCCAAGGCCTCCCACCCCCTGCACCCTCTCCATTGCATTATTTCAGGGGGGAGATGGAGGGAAGAAGAAGGGGCTGTTTTCTAGGTGTATTTTTCCTGTAGTTTTAGGATTGCCAGGAGCTGGATCATTTCTGTGTCTATGTGCATCGAGTTTGTTGTGTATTTAATAAATATTGGACTAAAATGCTGCTGCTTTCACGGTTGGTTTTTGTGTTTGCTTTTTTTTTTTCTTTCTTCCATTCTCATTTTTTTGGTTCCGGCATGCCTGGTTGCTGTCTTCACACTGCAGAGTGGTTATTCATCCTCCTCTCGGTTGGCATAAATGCCAGCTTCCCAGCGCAACGCCAGAGCACTCTTCCTGCGGTTCACCCTGGTTGCCTCCAGGACCTGGTCAGGAGAGAAAAGGAAAGCACAGGATGTCATTCAGCTGGCCCTGCCCTCAGGGTGTCCCACACTGTGCACCCAGGTGGGCAGAGACCAGCCAGGTGGGCAGGGACCAGCCAGGCCGGCCCTCCCACCGGGCTCCAGTGCCACACCCTGTGCGGGAAGGAAGACATGCAATGGAAGCACTCGCTGGTGTGAGAGAGGGAAGATGGCACACAGGAGCAAAGCCACACCACAGGAGGACACAAGTGGCAGGACTTATCTGGCAGCATCTGGCTCTCTGCAAGGGAGCCCCAGCTGACCTCTACTAGCCCAGCTGCTCTTGCCCTGTCCAGGCCTTGGTCCTCTCCCCAAGGCCAAGTTTAGTTTAGTTTCAAACTAAAACTGCACGAGCCAGCAAGCACCCCGCAGCTTTGTCCAGAGGCTGCTCTGGAGCTGCACATGAGGCCCAGGAAGCAGACAGCCGCCTATTTCAGCACATCACCCTCTCGGGCAGGACTTGGCAGCAGTGCCTGCCCCCAGCCCCTTCTCGTGGTCGTGGGGCTGCAGCTACGGCACACTGTGACCAAAGTGAGAAATCCCTGAGGGAAAAATCACTCCATGCACATGTGAAAGGAGATTTACATGAGGAAGGCCTACAAAGCCTGGTACACAATGGACCTGATATATTTATATGTATTTCATATACACACATCATACACAGGGGTACATGCACACACTGTGTCTATTTGTACATATGCATACACACGAACAAATAATAAAAATGTAAGAAACAATTTTGACATGTGGTTTGAGAAAGTCAAAAAGAAAAGAGACAACACCAAAAGGCATTATTGTGATGCACCTGAGGCACTCCTCAGCAAATAATGCATGGCTGTGGGTGTTTTTCACAGAGCAGAATGAGATATAAAGGTGCCTGGAGCCTTCTTACAGAAGCACACGACAGTGTTACTTTCTGACCAACACTGAATAACAGCTCCATGATGAAACTACAGAGCTGGCAATGTCAATTGTCTATCCTCAGTGTGTTTTAACCATCTCTCCCAAAGAAGCAAGCTTTTGAAGCTTTTTATGTCAGTTAAAAAAAATCCCACAACAAACACATGACTTTTCATTGAAGCAATGCTGGCCATCCCTCATCCCTAATGCTTCCTGCAAGCTGCTCTGCACAATCCCTGACTGCAGAAGAGTAGATGACCTTTTGAGATAGGATGACGATATTTTATTCTTCTGTGAAGAAAGTCACATGCAGTGAGGACTTAAGCCTTGACTAGAACAAAAGTAAATAATTTAAGACTAAAGAAATTCTTCTTCCAGCTTATGACAAGCTGTGGTTGGAAGAATACATACTGTACCGCCAGTATCAGAAAATCAGTTCTGACTGCCAGCTGAAATTACAGGCCACCATAACTTTGCTTATGAGAATAAGAATGCACTGCTGCATTTATGCAAATTGTAACCTCTAGATCTTCATTCAGGAGCTGAAGATAGGACATACTTTGCAGCATTAGTATTTCTTTGCCCTCTTAGTTTCTTTTGACTATGACTCTGAACAAGCCAAAGACCTAAAGATAAAATCTGGCCAACAGAGATGAATTTTAACAAAAACTCCATCTCATTCTCAGCACTGACCATGGCTACAAAGTTAGTCCAGTTCCACTAGTGGGATTTTGTTCTGAAATTCTGCCCAAAATCATGCTTCCTCTTTTTGCAGAACAACCACCAGAAGGAGGGACCAGGGCTGAGTGGTTTCTGTTTTTCCTAGTAGAGGGGCAAATGTACTTGAAAGGAGAAGGAAAAGGAGAAGGAAAAGGAGAAGGAAAAGGAGAGGAGAGGAGAGGAGAGGAGAGGAGAGGAGAGGAGAGGAGAGGAGAGAAGAGAAGAGAAGAGAAGAGAAGAGAAGAGAAGAGAAGAGAAGAGAAGAGAAGAGAAGAGAAGAGAAGAGAAGAGAAGAGAAGAGAAGAGAAGAGAATCAGTAGGAAAAAATTGGTCTGAGACATCAGCCTGTAAGGGGTATACTGGAGTTACTCTCACTGCAGAATGCCTAAACCAAGAAAAGACACCTCAAACTGAACAATGGAGAAGCAAAACTGGGAGTGGGTATCAGTGCATCATTCAGCATAAATTGCAAACTAAAACTGCCATCATGTTTTTAAATAAGGTCTGTGGAATTTGGTCTGCAAAATATGCCAGCTGAAAATAAAATGGATTTTGCATAGTTTAGGACAGCCTGAAATCAGCAGCTTCTTTGCTGGACATCACAGTATTTGGATGGTCTCTGGTGATGGATTGCAACAGTCAGGACACCTGAACTTTGAAGATTCCTGCTCTGGACCAGTCAGCTTCTATTTGTCTTCAAAGATGGCAATGGGGTTTCTTCCATTTATCCCTGGTCAGCACACCTACCCCACAGTTTGTCAGCTTCTACAAATGCTGCTGAGTCTCCAAGCAAAACTGTATCCAGATTCATATCAGAGGTACCATAAGGGCATAGTGTGTGGACTTGCACCTTGCAGGAAATCAAGTCTGGCTCAGTATTAACAGTAAATGGTACAGCTTATAAACTAAAGATCCTTTTGAATAGTTATTCCAGAATTATTCTTCTATTCTTCTATCTATTGAAAAGAGTGTTTGACCTAAAACAACCCTTGTTTTTACAAGGCTCTGACAGTTTTAGACCCTCTAGAGGAAACAGTGGCATAATTATAGCACGCAACTGGAATGACTGAGTGGGGAATTGGGACTCCTCAATGCAGCATTGAAATCATGACCCAGGAAACTGCTTGCCTAAAAATAGCCAACTATCTCAATTTTAAAATAAATTTGGCTGGTATCAGGGCTGACTCTAGACCCATAATGAGTGCAGCACCTCCAGGCTCTCCACAGCAAGTCAAAAATGCTATGTCAATGCTTCACAAGCACCCTCCTTGATAATGCCCTGCATCAACTGAGTGGCTGCAGGCAGGGGCAGATTGGTGCTCAGGGTGTCTGTCCTAAGGCAGCCAGGGCCACAACTGCAGGAAGATCATGAAGCAGGGGCTTCACTTAAGCTTAGGCTCCTCCAGCCTGTGAACTATGTCCTATTGAAAAGTCCACACCAGGGAAAAAAGCAATGTTACATAAAATGTCTTATTTGGCAGAGGTGATTTGAATACCAGCTGTAGTAGAAGAGGAAGAACTTGGAGAACAGAAGTATGTGTGAGGGAAAGACAAAAGATATGCAGGGCTGTAAGAACTGCTCTTCACCTCTCTGCAGAAAACGTCTTTATGGATCTTGTGGTTGCCACTCAAGGTCTCGCTAAGAATTACAGAAGGTTCTTTCCTTGAAGATTTAATTTATTTTTTGAGGATTTTGGGGAAAAAATTGAAACAGCTGTCACTTTTAGGTGGCATATGAATAATTCTTCTATCCATCCTAGAGATGGAGAGTTTCCATCATCGTGCTGATTTTTCCATCATGCTGATCTTACAAACCCAGCACACAACTTACAGCTTTAATAAGAGCTCCTTTACTGACAACAAGAGTAAGCTATATATATATATATATATATTCTTTAGCCCAATTAATATTTATCACAACCACTGAAATAGTTGTGTTATTTTTGAGCAATCATAAAACTGACTGCTATATAGTACATGACAATTTTTGTTGAACAGTAGTAGCAAAACTGATGTGAAAGCAAAACGTTTTTCTGTGGTTTAATATTTAACTGATTATTTCCATCTGAATCTGGAAGAACTAAAAGAAGAGGAGAAAACAGAAAATGCAAAGGTCTGCATGTCTAAACTCTGTGAGTACTAGGTGGTAAAGTTGCTGCAGAAAACACATTCATGGAGCACAGTGTGCATGAAGAGATGGAAGCGCAAATGCAGGCAAGAAGCTGCCTGCTCCAGCAGATGTGAGTGTTCCTGCTCAGGAATGAAAAATGCTTTAAATGCTGGAACTACCAAGAGAACATCTATTTCTTCTGCATGAAGGTATTTTTTTACTGTCCCCACTTAATGCTGTTTACTGAATACCCAGACTGGTAGTAAACACAGTGAGGAGCTGGGCATCTGAGACTAAAATTTGTTTACTTGAAACAAGACAGTGGCAGTATTAAATTGCTGCTTCTAAGTATTAAAACCTGAACTGTGTGCCTCATGCCATCAAATCTAATATCATGAAATCTAGTTCATCTTCTGTTTAGTAACACAAAAATTTTCAGCAGTAGCCTTTAATGTTGCATAAATCACCTTACTGCAGTTATCTGCTACAGCATGACTGGCATTATGGAAACTCAAGCTAGTGTCCTGTACATTTGAATGTATGTATAGCTGTAAGGCCAAAACCAGAGAGTTCTGAGGATAAAAATATCCTATACAAGGGCATGCACTTAGGTCTCTAAACAGCAGTGGGGTGTGCTGCTATTACAGGCTGCAGGAATCTGTGGGAGATGCAACATATCACCCAGGATGTAGCTGCTGTGGTAGCTGAACTTCAGCACTTACTGTGCCCTGCTGGGGGGTTGTGTTCTGCTTTCCAGAGTGGAATTGTCAGAATCACTGTGTGGATGCCCCTGCTCCCAAGCCAGGGCAGGCACAACTGGCACAGCTAGAGTGATTAAAACTGAGCCACCTGCCTGCACCACAGCGCATTTTGGAAGGCTCTGGTGAACAGGAGACACAGGGCAGCTGTGTCTCACAGGACAGAGAGTAGGGACATATGTACCTGGAGTCTTGCTGTTGTTTCTGAAACAACCTGCCTAGTTTCAGCTGAAGATTTCCAGTGAGAATCACATGGTTTCTTCAGTTTGAGGATGGATGCTGGGGAATAGCCAGAGAACATACTTTCACTTGCATGAGGAATTGCTGTGTCCTACAGTATTTTTTATTTCTAGCCCATTTCCCATTCAAACATACTCTTTTTCAGCTCCTTACTCTTTGTATCATTACCATAACACAAGCTGGACACAAAACTCTTCCCAGCAGAAGACCACGGCCTGGGCCGGTAAAAACTACACCTGAACTTCTGCCTCTCACACAACATTGAACACTCTGATCACTACCTGCTGTTCACAAATCTTAACTTAGATTATTGTGCATATATTATGGAGGAGAAAAGGCACAACCTCTGTTTAAAACCAGGACTCTGAAAGCACACTGCTCTGATACTGATTTAACTATCTATAAATACACAAAGATCAATCACTGGCATGTATCAGTGCGATAAAACTTACTATAAATTATTTAATGAATAAGAAATGGCTTGTCTTTGCTTTACTCTCCAGGTCAGAAAATGTTCATGTACTTGTCTTGAGGTAGCTGATGGGGTCAAATATATTATGGAATAGAAAAAGAAATAGAAGATTCAGGTTTATGAAAAAGTGCTGATGTTGGACAAATAAGTATCAGTCATTACCACAATCTGCAGAGAAAATTACAGGCATTTGAAATACACATATTACTGAGCACCTCATTAACAAACATTGCAGAAACAAACATTGTCATTAGTACCAACTTCCTGCTCTTAAAATTACTTCCTTTGGCAAAGTCCAGCTTTGGGGATATAAGGACTGTGCCAATTACTACTTTGCTTAAATACTGAATGTCACTGTAAATACCCTTTACTTGGCAGATTTGGGTTTATTCCACCCTGAGACAAACACTGATGCTAAGTTGTGGGACTGTGATCAGTCATCACATCACAACAGACAAGGACAAGGAAAGGTTCACAATATGAAACAGACTGAGGCCATGCACTCGGATCTGACTCTTCCATAGATCACAGATGGTGTGCAAGTTTTTTTTATAAAATACTAGAGATTTTCATAGTATTAAATACATTGTAATCAAAGACAAAGGAAAGCCACCGAAGTTTCATGCAGCATTTGAAGACACTTGGATCCCAGGTTTAGCTTTGCCCGCTAAATAAACAGTAAGGGGGATTAAGGGGAAGTTCTTATTTCTCACCTCAGGAATGCTGCAGTCCCAGGCAACAGCTCTCATCCCTTTAATTACAACCCCTCCCATGCCATAAATTATAACTAGAATCCAAGGGTTAGAAAACCAGCCACACAAATATTTGCTGATGAGAGATATAAGAGAATATCACACACACACACATATTTTTTATATGAAATGTCACTGGAACAAACTATGAAAATGACAACTGTAGCAACATGCACTTGGAATCACCATGCAAGAAGAAGCAAAAATAAACAAGCACTTGAAAAGTACCTCAGAAGTAACCTTGCTAGACAGTAATTTACAGGTGTACTGGTAGAAAGGGAAAAGACCAATATTAGTACATTGAACAAGCATGTTATAACTAGGAAACAAGAACAAATTACAGAAATTCTAAGAACTGGCACATTGCACAGTATAAAACTTCAAGCAACTTAGTGTCATAAAAAATAAAAAGTGAAGATTAGGCAGTTTGGTGTTATTTTAATGACGTTGCTTGGCCAGTCTCAGTCTTGTTTACCATCAGTGCTTGACCCATTTCCTTGCTGCTGCTTTTTCTCTTTCACTCATCTCCTGAAACCTGTACTGCCACACATCCTCTGGAAGAAACTGCCCCCCTTCCTGAGCAGTACAGCTCTTCCAAGATGTGCTTGATTTGCCCTCTCTTTCTGAAAGGCACGACCCACAAGCCTTGACCACAGAGGCCACGTTGTAGCCACTAAAGCCACTGAAGCCAGACATGAAACAGAAGGTGGTGGTGCCTGAAGGAGAGACTCAGAGGGTAAATGCCCTACAGAAACCACCCTCCTGTCTTTCGTTGTGTCTTACACAGGGTGAAAGTGGATCTCTGTACATCAGTACTGCTGGTGTGCTCAGCATGGACGGGAGTTCCCATGGACGTGAAACCTTTCCACAAATCTCTCCATTCAGGAGACCATGGCTGCCGTGCCAGGCACCCTTTCTGCTTCCAGTACTTGAGGAAGTCTCTGTTTCTCCTCACTCACACTGAGCAATGCTGAGCCACATTCAGCTCTCAGGACATAACACTCCAAGGAGCAGCTGCCTGTCTGGTTGTCAGTTATGCTCCTAATCCTGCTGTATTTAGTGTATTTTTAAAAACAGTGCAGTGATTGGCTATTTTGTTTCTTTAGTTACAGAAAAACCTTTTCCTGAGAACACTGCTCACATGCTCTCTGCTGACAAATTAAAGCTATTTGGTTTTTAAATAAATAGTTGCTTAGCCTGGACTACAAAATAGTCACTCAAACTGACAGCGGTACAAGTGCAGCACTTCTTATTAAAATTATACCATTGACAGACAAAGGCAATGGCAGAGTTGTTTACCAAAGGAGAGTGGAAAAAGCCAGGGAAAAGAAACAAAACACTCCCACTGATCTCAGGAAGCTCTCTCTGGGCTCTGCAGGACACAGACATCCAATAGGATTTTGGGTGGGCAGCAAAAAAATCGTTTGGCTTCATGCAGTGGGCTTACAGAAGAGGAGAATGACGATGAGCCTCAACACTGTGGGACACTGGTGTGCACTAGGACTTTTCAAATTCACTGAAGCCTTGAAAATTCATGCCAGAAAAGGATCTATCCCACGGGTTGTCCCAGTGGCACCAATGCTCTGGCAGTGCATCTTTGGGTTGTCAGTGGCTGTGCGGCTTTAGCAGCAGTGGAGAGCTGAGATGGCACCCAGAGCACACCTCTGTGGTCAGACACTGCCCTGACCACTGACCAGCACTCTGGACAGGACATCACTTCAAACTGCAGCAGAGACCAGGCAACTGTGGCCAGTCCACTTTCCAGGGAGCATGTGTGCAGTTCTGCAAGCACTTGAGGAACTGTGCTCAGGTAAATAAATGAGCAGGACCTAAGATTCCAGCACAAGCTACCACTTCACAGGCTGGGCAGGTCACCTTCACTCTTCACAGGGGCAGAGGAAGAGCACAGGGTGAGTACAAGCTGAGTGCCACCCCAGAGCAGAGCAGCTGCTCTAATTTTGCAGCCACCAGGCCAATGGTCTCGGTGCGGGACTCCAGTGCTGGTTTGCACAGTGGGTGTTTTACACCCAACTCTTTTTAATGTTCCTCTCAGCTTCTGCAAAGGTCATGGGTGTTGCCCTGCAAGCCTCTGAGCCCCTTCAGGGACAGATGCTCTGGGGAGATGCCAGGAAACAGCACCCACCAGAGCAGGTGGGACCACCCCGTTTCACTGGGTGCTTTGGGGAGGGAGAGAAACCAGAGTGGCTCCTTCCTAAGATGTGGCCCCAAGATGCCACTGCCAGAACGAGACATGCTCCTGTGCACAAGCTGGTTTTCTATTTGCTGTAGAAGTCTGATGGGCAATGGAACCTTGTTCTTCAGTGGCCTCAGTAGAATAAGGGACCAGAAATTCAGGGGTGCACTGGAAACAAATCTATCTGCATTTTTAGTTAGCCAACAAAAGTGCAACAGGACCCCTCCACATTGCATTCTTTCTGATTTTTACTGCCTTTTGTTACTGTGCAATGTCCACAAGCAACTAAAAGCTGCCACACTAGTGCAGTGCTTCTGTTACAAAACTTCACTTATATCTATACTCCTAATAAGAACCTGACTTTAGTGAACACTACTAGAAAGCAGTTTTGTTGGAGCATCCTTGGCGGTAGGGTCATTGTTCAGACATCTCTGGGAAATGTCTGGAGGACTTTGGCTGCTTCAGCAAATACTGACTCTGACACTGAACTTGTATCTTACTACCTTCTGCACTCATTGCACAGTAATAATGACTCTGAATAAGAAACAGCTCATGCTCTCTTAGGAAAAAGACATTTTCCTGAATTTTGATACTTCCAGTTAAAAAATCTGTAGCTCTCCTTATTAGTGTCTCTAATAAAGACTACCTTAATTCAGAAACACCTTAATTCAGATGAACTTTACTACTGCTTGTGTGGAAGGAAGACAACAAATCCAGCAACAACATGCCAGCTGTTGAAGGATCCAAGTTAACTCCCAGTCTAGTTCCACAACTGCTGGTTTCTGGGGAAATTATCAACTTACAGTGAAGACTGAGCACACTTGGATTGGATTTTGGGGATGGCGGGGGGCAGTCTACAAACACGGGTGTGAATACATGCTTGATCCACAAATTTCAATGCACTGCTAAAATAAACCATTGGAGGGTCCTGGTGATGTGTGAATTAACAGAATCTGCCAATTACAGGGCAGCTACACACTGCTCTTATTATTAGTTAACATAATTAGTGAAAATTAAACATAATATGAGCTGCCTTTAATATTTGCAGTGACACACTCTTCCTCTTCACTGGCCTGCATCCTTCCGTTTCGAACACCTGCCCCTTGCAATGTGTTAAAATCCTTACCCACTTGCAAGGTGATCTGATCAGATTCTGGTGAAATGACCTTTTTCAGTGTCTGTTCGTTCTTGCAAGTCATGGTCTCTATCCCAGAGGATGAAGGGAGAAGGAGAACTGCGCTTACCGCACTGTCGTCCATCCTTTCTCGTCTCTTGGTTTTGTGTGTTTCATAATCCTCCATCAGGGTCTGCATCAGGTTCTTGGGTCGCTGGGCTCCTGCAGACTCCTCGGGTGGAGGGTCCAACTGCGAGGCAGGGCCTTCTGTGGTGGGGGATGGAGGAGGCTTGATCTTCTCTATCTTCCCTGCAATGACATGAAAAACAATGACCCCTTCTAAGCTGAGGACTCACTAATTGTTTACCAACGATGACAGCTGGAGAAGCATTTCCAGCACATTTTGAACGAGGAAACAGTTTGGAATGAAGTCTATGAAACAATCTGGTAAATCAGGATGGTTATAGACTTTAAAAAAAATTCTCCCTCTTCCTGTAACCCACTACAAAATCTTTTTACAAAACCACCATTTACAAAAGCATCTGCTTGAAATACCCGTTTCCTCCTACAGGATACATTTCTGTGATTTGGAAATGTTTGTAAGATTCTGGAAAACCACAAGATGATTTTTTTCTTGCTCAGCCAGTGCAACACAGGGACCATGCACGAGACAGCCAAAGAAGGCATCTTGTTAAACACAGCTGCCTTCTCTTTTTCCAGTGCTTTTTATCTGCTTTGTAAGCAAGAAAGGCTTTGGGTCGATCCTCAGCGCTGCTCTTCCCTGCAGCAGTTTCCTGCAGGTTGCAAAGAGTGCTCCTGTGGCAGAAGAGGATCAGGTCTCTGTCCTATAAACTCTTGGTTCAGATATGGCCTTTGAGTTCCCTCCTGAAGGAAAGCCAAAGAGAACTCGTTTTGCTCTCTGGCTGAGTCCATTGCATCCCATGGAAGGTTACTGTGTTGAGCACAGTGACCCCAAAGGCAGGTAAAAGGCACTCCAGGAAAAGCCTGTAAGCTGCAGTAGGACTCACAGGTGGACAACCCACACTTCCCTGGGAAGGACAGCCTGACTTTCCCATCACCAGGCGCTGACTTGGGGTGAACCACCCACCATGTCCTGCTGGGAAAAATGAGGATGACGGCGGCAGGTCATGGGAATGATATGATGGCTGTGACAGGAGAAAGAAATGCTGAATGAAAATCACGTTTCCTTTTCCATCAGACCATCATCAACTCTTTGAAATAAGACATTTCAATGAATGTAAAGAAAATACCATGAAGAGAAAAATACCCACTGCAAACCTCTTAAAAATAAGTGAAATAATCAGAAGGATCATGCTGACTTTCAGGAAACTTGTTGATAAAACAAATGAAAATCCTAGCTGGGCCTTTAAAAACCGTTATGACAGTTGCAGCCACTAGAGAGCAGCCTTGAAATCTCCTGCAAAAATCAACACGATTTATTCTTGAAAGTAGAAGTGAGCCAACACTCCAGAGGTACTTTTACAAGAACTTCCCCTGCCAGGGTTTTCCATTTCTGATCAGTGTTGAAAAACCCAGCATGGTTAGTTTATTAGTCTCATTAATTTAAGCTTAATTTTAGCCTAATTTAAGCTTAATTAATTGGGCAGTGATGAGGATGGGAATCCATCCTTTTTATAACACCCTACCAGAAACTGAAGGGGGAGCTTCTATGAGGACAGGCTCTTCTCTGGGTTGCATCAAAACTTGCTCCACGGATAAAAAGGAGTTATGCTGCCAAAGCAGAGACCAACAGTAGGTCTGAGCTGCCCAGCTGCACCCATGTGTGACAGCTTAGACTGATCAGCAGGAGAGACTTGAAACTACTGACACCCTGCCAATTAGGCCCACTGGGTAAAAAAGCGTGGTGAAAATGAAAGGCCTGATTAAGGGTCAGATATCTTGGTGATTAAGGACTTCATCCTTACACTAGTAATTGCCTTGGATGGATGTACGTAATGGGGGAAGAATGAGGCTTCTCAGATGTCTGCCCAACTTGTACCTTCTCCGGGGATACACACACCACAGGATGCTCAAATCTACAAACAAGCCTAATGGCTGAAAAGAGATCCTTTCATTCCCCTTCACCTGGCAAACAATGCAAATTGTAGGTTTTGGGGATTTCCATTTAAGAAAGGGGATATCTTCATGCAGGACTGTTTGCCTCGGATGCAAGCCCCATCAATTTCCATTATGACAGATGAGAAAAACATTAACATTGGAAGAGACCTTCAAGAAATCATTGACTCCAAGCTTTGTATTGCATGTACATATACATATTTTATATATATATATATACATACATACACAATATATGTACACATATTATACATGTCTGTATTTATATGAAGGCTACAGCATCCCAAATCTATAAACACACATTTACTTTTTACTTAGAGATGCTGTTGAAATTTTTTTAAGACATTTGCATAGCAGAGAAAAATTTTCAAAGTAAGACATTTCAGCAGGAAACCAGTCTGTGCTGGACTCAGGGCATTGCTTAAGTACATTTAAAAAAAAAAGATTCCTCTAGTAACACATAGCCTCATTACCACTCCAGGTGAAACGCGGGCTTCTCTGCTCTTCTTGAGCACCAGGTGAACAATGCAAATATGCAAAACCACAAACAAGCAAACAGTAAATAAAGTGTGTCTCAAAGATTCTCCCACTTCACAGACATCCTCCACTAGGGAGGGAGTAAGAACGCAACAGGCAAATGAACTTGGTTGGTATGTTGTTAAGGCACTCCTGGAAGTATTCTGGGGATGACTGATGAGCACTCCAGGGAAATCCCTGGAGAAAATTATTAACTTTCTTTTTCCATACCACTGCCTATAAAGGGGTAACGAAACAGCATCTTCCATGAACATTTCTACTTTAGGCTTTCTCATAATTCTGATTTGAAGAGGGAGTTCATACATATGTATTATATCTGTTCCTTTGTGTACATGCATACAAGGCATTAAAAATTTTGCAACGACCCTGAAATATCTTGCCCAAAGTTTCTGCTCCTCTTCCCACTACACAAAAAGTATCTTCAGGCTATGGCTGAACCTGAGAAGCTTCCTAAACATAGGTCTTTATTAGAGAAAAATTGAAGTGGAAAATGGTTTTGAAGCTGAAGTGGTTTCTCTGATGGAGGCTTAAACTCCACAGCTGCCACTCAGGGTAAGAAAGTAGAGAGAAGAAAGAAAAGGACAGCATGTACACATCCCTCACAGTTACTGACAATTTAGAGGTATCTGACTGCTTGTGTGTCTAAGCCGCAACTTCATCACTGAGCTTTCAACACCCACTGAAGTTCTCTCATTTAGTTCATCAGCTGAGGGCAACAGAAGATGTGCATGGGGGCCAGTTCTCTTTGATGCTTGTGCAAGTGTTCGAGTGCCTGCACACAAGCACAATGAGCTTTATGCCTCACCTGGCAATACTTAAGTGACAACACCAAAAAGGCAGATGTGGCAGCTTCCCAAAGTACCTCTCAGGCATGGTTTCTCTGCAAGGTACTCCCCTCATCTCTCATCCTGAGACAGCGGATATTGACAAAGGGTTTGGCTCGAGATGAAAAGCCTTCACTGAACCAAGACCTCCCCTGTAATGATTCTCACACCTCCTTTTGAGGAACAGGACTACTCAGAGCCAGGCACTACAGGAACTTAGATACAAGTCCTGCATAGTCAAAGTTACTTCTAATAAAAGGAGTAACAAAAACCACGGGAATTACATAACCATGCTTATGCTGGATTCGTCTCATGTCACACACTCATCATCCTGCTCAAATAAACTATCAGACAGCCCCCTCTCCTCTGCCCAGGAGAGATGCTGTACCACCTGCACGTTGTTGGAGGAAACCACTGTCTTGCTGTGCAGCTGCTCACACCACACCAAGTGCAGCAGGAGCTCCAGGAGACATTCAGTTTTCAATAGTGCTCCAGAAATATTTTGGGATCCATGGTGACTATCCATACAGCAATACTCTGGCACTTTGGTCTTTCTTGAGTCTCCTCATGCAGGAAACCCAACTTCTCTGGGAAAAATTCACATAGGTTCTTCATCTTTACCTTTCCAGGAGTGCCCTGGAGAAGAGTGTACACATTCCACTGAAATTACTCTGCGTCTCAATTCAGTGGTCTGAGATGGGTTAAAAGGTTGTTTCAAAGCATCAACAAACAATTTTAAAGGATAATTGTTATCAGTACAGAAGTTTATTACTAAAAGACCTTTTGGATTGTGCTGAGTGATTGGCAGACAAGCTGAGTGTTACCATCGGTTCTATGAAGTTGCATGTCAGGGTGAGTAAAGACAGACTGTTTGCTATCTAAAGTAATCAGCAGTTACTGCACATATACACCTACATGAACTGTGTTAATCTGCCACACTTCAGTTAAATTACACTGCAGTTCACTGCAGTCCCTTTTCATGGTTTGTCTTTCTGTTACCTATGTCAGTATCCACCCGGTTCAAAGCACAGAAGGGGAGCAGCAGTAATAAGTAAGTAGTCAGGAAACACCAGGAGTCCTAAAAAAGCTACTATGCCCAGACCACCACCTAAATAGAGCCTGATTTTTAGGCCATTGCTAATTAAGTTTATTATTATGCCTTCTCAAAACAGTAAGTATGCACTTCCACACTTAAGGATTAGAAACAGATTTTTCAAATTTATACTTGACCGCTTAATCCCTTCCTGCTGAGGTATCCTGATGTGCCAGTTCTTTCCTTGGAAAAGGCAATTTGCCGACAGAAATACCTCTGTTTCTTCTTTATTATTACCATCAGTAGTAGAACTGCTATTATTTTTCTTTGTGAAACTAGATATACATACTACAGTACCAGACATATTCTACAGCATATTCCTTACTGGCCCCAGCAGAAACAGGTTTTCTTTTCTGATCTGTATGTCACCTCTGCTCTGTCTATCCTAACAGCCTGATGTTTGTGACTCTGCTAAATTATATTTTGACTTCTTTCACAAATATTGAAAAGATCCTGTAACTATTAAAAGGGAAGTTGCTGCAATCTCTCAAGAGATTACATGGTATTCCTCCACCCTATTTCTAAGGATGCCTGCAGGTGTTAACAGCAATATAACTGGCTAAAGGGACAGCAAGGAGGAGATGAACTTTATGAGAGGTGAGGTTTATACAACTTCCAATGCTAAGGGTCCTGCAGCTGGAGAGCTATGCTGAGCACGTCTGCTGTTCAGCAAGCACTAAAAGTAGAAGAACTAAGAAGAACTTTGCCAATGTTCTTTGCGGGTTTTTTGATCAATGGTAGTCTTAACCAATGACACTTATTCATCTTTTCCTAGAAATTATTTCTTTGCCTTGTCATCGGCTGCAAATTGCAGTAGCTTGAGTCACTGGCTAAGAGATCCCAATTTTCTTTCTTGAACATATGGCAGTTGGACATTTAAAGGAAACTGTCTGGAATGATTCATTATAAACAGAAGTTTATAATTTTCTCTAGAATGTAATTTACGACAAACATTTTTACAGACACAAAGTAAATGCCTTGTTGTGTAGAGAAAGCAGAAATATGTTGTTTTCCTAGAAGCTCTGTTAAAACAAGCATTAGTGTCAGCAGCCCATCCAACATCACTTCTGAGTAAAACACAATCATTATCTACCCCATTTTGAGCACTTTCACTGCAGATGATGCTGTTTTTGAACACAGTCATGAGCACACCTTTATGAAACAAGTCCTCCTAACTGACGTCTGTAGTGCCCTGTATCTCATGTGTTGTCAGATATTTCTCAGAACACCTCAGATTAGAAAGGATCCTTATGGAAAATGCTATACTAGGAGTTATAACAGTAGTACTTCAAAGAAAAGACTGGTATTTGCTACATTTTTTTCAAAAAATACATGTTAAGATCATCCTCTTTGCAGAAGAAACTGAACTAAGTATTCTCTATTTATGTGCTCCATAAAACTCCAAGTTCACAATCATACTGAATAAGGGGCTAAATCTACTTCTGATTCAAACTTACCATGACTTTCAAAAGAAAATTACTACCACTGGCTTGTATTTACACCAGTGGAAATAAAGACAGCATTTAAGTACTTTTGGTAGAATGAATACTTTTTCACAATCACCACTGTTAATAAACCCTACAGGCACTTGCAAAGCATATGCAGGTATATGCTTAATAAAAATCTACGCAGAAATAAGCCTGGTGTGTGTTTCTGGGTTTTTTTTTTTTAATTTTTTTTTTTTCTGTATTATATTTAGAAGGCATCAGTGTTTGACATTATTTCTTGAGAAGGGGAATGGGGAGACAGATGTGCTGTAACTGCTGTGAATGTCAGAAAAAGAACGCAGAAACTGATCGGTCTAGAGGACTTCCACTGAATCTACTCAACAATTTGTTTGTGTTGCTTGTTTAATTCAGTAGTGAATAACACCAGCTAAAATACATGGCAACCCATAACTCTGGATATAATTTTACAAGACAAAGCTATTAAGACCAAGACCGCAAAACAGAAAGCAAAACACACAGAAAAAGATATCAAATTCATACCCCAAAATCTGCACATCTTCACTTACTCTGCACTTCCCTAATGGCGTGCAAGAGAACAGGAAACCTATTAAGGACAGTCTTGGATGTTTGTCTTTCAAATAGCCACACAGCTGTAAAAACTGCTGCTGTGCTTCCCTGAAACGATCCTAAATTTCAGTGGGTGGTCTGAGCAGCACAGCGATGGACATGTCACGCTACCATGCGGCAGTGGGTGAACACAGAACGGGGTTTAGTAAGGATGATCAGCATCTCTGCACTCTATTTGTGAAAACCCAGAACCTTCCACAGGTGCGCTCACAGCCACAAAATTAAGCTGTCCCATGCAGTTTCTAGGCACATTAAGTCATCTGCCCTCCCACCCCCTGCAAAACAGTATTTTCATTAAAAAATGACATAAAACTAAACCATACCTGACCCTTCAGTCACGTTTCACTTCTGCTCTGACACTTTGAGCTCTTACCTGGTGCAGTTTTGTAAGACACGGTTCTGGTGGGCATGGGTGGTGCACTCTTTGTAACAGGGCCTGGTGCCATTTGCAAACCCTGCCGCTGCCTCTTCAGCTCCTCTTCTCGTTCCTGGGCAGCTCTGATCTCTTCTTCAATCATGGACAAAGTCCGCTGTTTCCTCGACCGTAACTTGAAAGGGCCCACAGTCACTTCAGGCTCCTGTGTGGCCAGGATGGAGGCAGTGCTCCGAAGCTCCGCTGCCTCTGAATACTTGCTGAAATAGCTGACTTCAGGTCTGCTTTCTTCCACAAGGAATGGCTGGCTGGCTGAGTACATGGGCGACTGCTGCAAACTCTTCCCTTCCCTGAGTCCTGAGTCTTCCTCTTTTGAAGTCTTTGGTATGGTGTCCCTTTTCTCTTGAACTGGTGAAGACACCTGGGGTGGCTCAAACGTTGGGTTCTGATGCTCCTTGGAGGCTGGAGCTGGCCCAGAGCTGGCTGGCTGCTCTTTGGCTGAGACTTCTTTCTCTGCTGGGATTCCCTCTTCCCTCGGGTTTCCTTTCTCCACCTGCTCAGCTATGGCTTGTTGGATGGCGTTTTGAACCAGCAGGCCAGCGTGGTAGTCCAGCTGGTCGTCCATCAGCATGGAGTCTGTCAAGGCAGAGGAGGGCGAGTCACAGCCTGGGTCACTGAAGGACTTGGAGATGCCTTCAGCCCTGCACTCAGCTGGAGTTTCAGCCTGCGGGGTCTGCGGCAGAGAGAAATCCGCTAGCGAGCTTTCCTGCAGGGCGCTCATGGTCTCATTGGAGGCACCGCTGTCACTTACGTTATCCATGCTGAAGTCATTGGAAAGGGTCTCCAAGACAGTGGTGTCCTGAGACCTGACAGACAAGTCATCCAAACCGGAGTCAAGCTCCTCTGGCGGTGAAGAGGCGCTTCCTGACTTTGGGAAGTGATCTAGAATTCCCTGTCCATCATCCTTCACCATTGTGAAGACCGCCCTTGCACTCATGAATTCTCCATCCTCTGCCCACAGTTTTGAGGCTGGTCCAGCTCTGGGGCTATCACTGCAAGGTAAGTCTCGTGCTGTGTCAGCTGTGGTATTCTGAGTGCTTTTGTCATCTTCTGAGCTACAGGAGACTTTCTGTGCTTTGGCGACAGTGGCGCTGTTACCCTCAAGCTGTCCAGTTTGCCCGCACACTGAAACGGGTCTTGTCACGGATGACATCGGCCTGTCCACACACGGAGAATTGAGGCTTTTGTAGAAGGGTTTGACAGAGAACATTTTGGGTGTTACTGACCGCCTTGGTGGGGCCTGACCCTGAGATGGACCTGAATTCTCCATCAACTGGAACTGCTTCCTGGCAGCTGAGAAGTCAATTTGCTCTGTGACAATATCTTCTTTCTTGATACTGACAGGCTCTGGGGATACAAAGGAGCAGCTGACCTGTTTAGGGGATGTTGGTGCTGCACCTTGCTGCTGCTGCTGCCTCTCCTTGCGCTCCTTGTACTTCTTGTGAGACTCCAGATGCTCTTCATCCAGTTGATCCTCCAGGGGCTTCTCCTGAGGAGGGTTCCACCATTTGGCAGCAATGCTGGGGTTCTTCTTGACAGCCTGGCTTTTAATGAGTTCCCTTCTTTCTTTTTCAAGTTCCATCATTTCCTCTGATGGTCTCACTTTGCGGACTCTGTATTTTTCTTTCTCTTCCTCATCTTCAAAGAGCTTTGAGGGCTTTTTTTCTTCATGGAAGGCCCGCAGTTCAAACTTTGCCTCTTTCTTAAGGGTTGTAAGAGTTGTCTCTCCATCCTTAGAGGATCTTCTAGAACTGTTTGAAGAAGTGGGACTTCCTGGCACCTTCAGACTCTCCCTAGTGTCTTCTTTCAGACCACCCAAGGAATGGCCATTGGATTTCAGGTTCTCATCTGTTATATTAGCTTCACATGTCTCAACCTCCAAGGATACCTGCTTGTCTGCTACACTTTCTTCTCTTTCACTAGATACTGACTCTTTATTGACATTAGCAGATGCTCCTGAACCATCCATAACGGAGACTGCACTTGGTTCAGGGGAGGATGTCCCATTAAATGTACTGTCTGCAGCAGAATCACAACAATTTGCCTCCAGCACTTCATCTAGGTATCTGATCTCTTTAGCAACTTCACTGTCCAGAGATTCATGCCTGTCCCTAAGTCCATTTCGGCTGGAAGCAGGCGAAAAGAAGTGGGTTGGATTGTCTGTGGGATGTGGTGAAGCCACTGTGGTGATGCTTTTATGTTCAGAAACTGGAACTTCAATTTCCATTTTCTCTTCCTTTGTAGCAAGCACAGTAGATGGCTCCAAGAAATTGGCACAGTTTTGGTCTCTGTTTTTTCTTAACCTGATGTCATCCTCAGGGATTCTGGAAGATTTCTAAAATAAAAGAGAGAAATTATGAAATCTTAAAAAATGAACACCTAATTTTCTGCAGAGCAAACACCATCTGGAAAACAAATCCTAGCACTTCTTAAAGTTGAGATTAAAGCATTCCCTCAGAGCATGGGAAAGCAAGGCAAGCCATTAACACAAAAAGTAGGAAGCTACCTTACCATATGCTGGAAAAGGTACTAAAACAACAACAAACTTTCATTTAAGAATCTCTCACTTGCTTACCACCCTCACTTTGTCATTATTTCATGCCTGTGTCTTGGTCTGTGACTAGAAATAAACTTTGAATTTCTAAGTTAACAACTTGGCAATTTTGATTCCTCAAAGATTTGCACATGCAGTACACAACACCTATCATCTTGGTACTCCAAAAATGCTTTCCACACCTAAATGAAATTTCATAATGCCTCTACTGATGAAAAGCATTACTGCCTGTGCTTTGTGGAAACAGATACTAATATGCTGAAAGAGTGGGTGACTCACACCAAGTTAGGAAAAATGATGTGGCAATGGTAGGGAATGTTCAATTCTCAGTGCTCAATCCTGGTCATAAAACATGGAGTAGAATTACATGGTGCTGGAAAGACATGGGGTCTTCCTCCATCCCACATGGAAACCTACACACAATTGCACTTGGGAGACAGGAAGCATCTGTAACTCCCACAGCATGAAGAACACCACAAAGAGCATGACAGGGACCACAGTCATGGTATCCTCCCTTCCACTTCTTTGATCTGTAGTGCAGATCTTCTGGATTCATGTTTCTCCCTGATGTGTTGTCTCTGGTCACAAGCTTATTGACATAAATACTATTTATGCTCATGTATTTTACTGGTCAAGCAGCCTAATGAGCTTACTGAAGTCTGAAGGAACTTCTGATTAAGTTGGTAATGCATCAATTAACTTCTCAATAATTCTATACTGCTAAAAGGCAAACCTAATCCACAACACCAAAACCAAAGAGGACATTTTAAACATGGTTTTTCAAAAAGCACTTGCTAACTTCCTAAATAATTATAACCAAAAGTGATACATTATTCCCTTTGACTCAATTTTTAAACAGAAAGGTGGTACCTGAGCTCTCTGCCTGCTTCCCACACGTGTTTCTATGTGTGAGGCGCTGACTTTGAAAGCAAATGGCATTGATCAAACCCCGTGAATTCAGTGGACACCAGCAAGAGCACCATTGTCAAGCTGTCACCCCTGCCTTGCTGTCCCTTATCCAGCATGCTATTAACACACACCACAGCAGCAGATGATGAACAAGGAGCACAATGGCACTTACCAGTGACCTGAACAATCATATTGTCACTGGATTTATACTGGCAGCCAAATGCATTTGACACACCTTAACAAATTACAGTCAGTCACCCAGAAGAGCTCTTTCTAAAAACACTCTGAAAAGCTTTCTGTCTAATTACATAGTTGCACACAGTTGAAGACAATGCTGGCTTCAGCCATCAGATACTTTCTTCCTAACTGTGCTTAAACACCAGGAAAAAAAAAATCTTTAAAAAAAACCCCCTGCTTTTGTCTACATATTTTACTTGACAAACTTCAAACTGGTTTTACTTGCTTCACTTCTTCACTTTGTGTTGAACTTAGAAATATTCCAGCTGAAGTTCATAGCAGTTCTTTTCTTAAAGGATATTGTGTTTTTTATCATTTAAATATTGAAATGTGGCCAGTGTCTTCTTTAGTCCCATTAATGATATATTCAAGAAATGAGATGCTCTGCAAACGAATACAAAGTATAAAAAATGCTTAGTTTGTACAGTAGGCACAGATGGAATGAAAGAATCATGGATAATGGCTCTTTTAAAATGAAAGGGTATTGCTCTTGATTTGCTGGCAGAGCTCCATGTACACAATAGATACTCAGGTGACAGGATTTAAGACTGCAATACCTTTTTGATATTTGGGGTTACATCTTCCCTGCTCGACTTGCTGGTGCAAAAATGAGTATGGTGGCCCCTAGGGCAGTCTGTGCAAAGTCCAGGACTGATAGCTGTCCCCTTTCACACAAACCATGGGTATGAAATTATGCTCCCACTAATATTTGCTTATAATCTGATAGATCAAAGCCACTAGTAGCTTGGTATGACATTGGTAGCTAACGACGTCCTCTGTAGCTTCAAAACCATATCCTGAATGGACAGAAAATCAGTTAATGAAGATGTGCTCTCCTGCCACCAAAACACATCTCCTTGCAGAGCCGAAGGAGCTCTTGCTCCTGTGCTTCTTGTACCTGCACACCATGGAAACATACCTGATTGTCCCAGAGACTGCATTCACTGAAGCAGGTCTGTTTCCACCTCTGCTCTGTGTGAACCACTCCAGTTCACATCACATTTGGATATTCAAGTTCGGTAAGAGAACCACAGGTAGTTTTTTGCCTAAACCTCTTAGCAAGTAAGAGCCCACCCTCTCACCATAGCTGCAACCCATAACTCACAATTAAGGCACATGCATGTAACAGCCTAATCAGGGCGTGCACTTGTGACAGCATGTAATTCTGGAAGTGCATGTGTCTATGCAATTAGTGTGGGACATGTAATTATGTAGCAAAACAGACAATTATGCAGTAAAACCTACGAGAAAACACTGCTTCTTATTGGACGAGCCTTTCTGGCTAGGACTCCAAGCACGGCAGAGGAGCCAGTGAGGATTGCTAGGAGAGGAAAAACAAAATACATTCAAAGGAACCACCCATTTATTTTCCTCAAAACATTCTGCCAGAACCTGGGGACAACTTTGTGAGGTTGTGGCAATAAAAATTATGCTCCAGACACTCCTGCGGGGAGCAGAAATCAATCTACTGATGAATTACTTGAAGAAGAGAACTGAGATAGCTAAAGACAGAAACAGATGGCAAAACAAACCTTTTCAAGACAGTCCAGGCCACAGCACCTGCCCAGGACAACTGAATGGGTGCAGGAAATGGCACATGTTGGGATGAGCCACCATGGGTGGGAGGAGGATTGCAGGAGGTGGCAGTGGGGTACACACAGACCCCCATGCCTCAGCTGCTTGGTGGAAGGAGGAGAGCTTTCCAGGGGGCGGCTTTTGCTCCTCCTTGATAAGCCTGCACCAGCAGCTTTGTATTTGCCACCTACAGGGAGAAGGCTTTTCAAAGCCTGCACCATTACAAAGACCTGTGAATGGGAAAAGGGCTGCATTCAAACCTAATTGTAGTCAGTCACAAGGCATTCACAGTGATGCCCTTAAACTACTCATCTAGACCCAGCTTTTCCAGAAGTTGCTGTTACATTTACACTGTCTCTGAATGCGTGTTCATTTTTGTCTAAGTCAAGATGCAACAGGGCAATTAGTGTCACTTCTACAATGCTGCTGCACTTTAGTAAACTATAGTTATTAGCAGCTTAGAAAATTATTAGCATATTTCCTCTTTGGCTGAATTCTTCATCTACAAAAGTGCAAGTGTTTGGGCAATCAGCTCTTTTAGAAGGAATAAAATGTGGGTGTGCTACTAGCAGGACTCAACAAACGTGCTGCCAGTGCCTTCCTTTGTTTGATGCAACAAAAAATGCCTACAGAAACAAGTGGGAAGAAATCCTTCTGAGTCAGATCAACATTCTTCTGAAGCATCAGTAGCAGTGGTGGGAAGGGAGAGGAAAGGATTAAACAAATAAGAAGTTTCACGGTTTAAAAAAATCTGGAAGTTTCCTTATTGTGGGCTTTTACAATCACTCCAGCCAAGTTTCAAGGCAGCTTTTGATGCTTTTGGTCTCCTGGCTTTGTTAGCACTGCCAACCTTCCATTTCTTTGGCCTTCATATTCTTTTGGAGATGTCCTGTACTTCATTTGCTCCTCCTCCCCCTGCTTCAGCACTGAGTCAGTGTTTTGTTCAACCCTTTCCACTCTTCTCTTCAATCTATTAGGCCCACCACACATCAAGCAGTTTTAGTAGTAAAACCTCATTTGCAGATGGTTTACTGGCTAATCCATACCATCCTTGCTGATGTCAGTCATCTTCTCCCTCTTCACCTACTGTCTTGGCCTGCCTCTCTGACTGTCTTATTTGCAATTAAGAAGGAAGCAAATGATGGATTTGTTAGGAGATTGACTCTGGCAAACCTTCAAGGGAGCAGCTGCTTTCATTCACCTCATCCTTTTGAAGAACACAGTCACCACCTGCACAACAGATGGAGCCAATCCCAAACAATGCAGAGACACAGAAGTCAGCTGAACCTCTGTGGTTCCAGACAGACACCCTGTCCAGAGACAAAACTCCTAGCCAGCAGAGGCATTGCCCCATGCTTGCTAGTGGCAGTAAGTCTTTGCAGAACTCATTTGCTTTAGGACCGCAAGTGTTGCAGTTCATAATGAACCAGAAAAGCAACAAAAGTTGTAAAAAGTGATAGTACCTATCCCTCACAGCCCAGTTCCCTACCACACAACAGGTGCTCAGACAGGTGCCACCATCCCACCCCATCCCAGGGGGGAATGGCAGCCCAAACCACTGCGGCAGCTCCTGTCTCACAATGGCTCCTGCACTCCCTCCCTCCCTCCCTCTCTCAGCAGGGTCTCAGGGGCAGCTGCCACCCCATCTAAGTCCAAACATGTGGTGAACCCCCCTTGGCACAGGAAGAAGAATTTGACAGTGGGAGCCTTTGCACAAAGCAGTCTAAAGAAATGGGCCAAACATCTCTGTTTTAGAAACTACCTATTTGGGTGAGCTAAGAGAAAGCAGTAGCAGGAAAAAAAAGTTTAAAAAGATCCTAGAAGTGGAGGGGAGAAGGGATGAAGATGATGATGTGGAACTCAAGGAAAGAAAGGGTTTATACTCACATTACTTACAGAAACTATATATTTTGATTTAAAAAAAACCAAATCAAAACACACAAAAAAATCCCAAATCCAAACCCAAAGTGTTGTCTTCTTGTTTCCATGCAAAAACACCTTCCTTTTTCATACAGTATTTTATACTGACATCTAAAGGTTTTTAAACTACTAAAGGAAAT